ATCACCTCTCCCTCCAGAGACCCACAGCTGAGACTGGACCTCGGCACTTCATCTTGGCTTTCATGTCTCTGGATCGTTACTTAGCAATATGTAGACCACTCCGACGCTGATGAGTGGTCATGCCTGTTCCTGACTAGTGCTAGTCTCCTGGCTAGCTGGATTCCTCTGGGTCCTTTGTTTCACTGTTCTCATGTCCAGCCTATCTTAATGTGGTCCCAACTGCATTGACCACTTCTTTTGTGACAGTTAGCCCTTGCTGAGGCTTTCCTGTGGAAATATATGATTGCCAGAGCTGGTGGCTTTCATGCTCTCTACAGTGTTACTTGGCTCTCTAGGAATGACATCAGTTTCCTCTGCCTGCATTCTGGCCACAATTCTCAGGTCCACCACAGCTGGTGAACAGAGGAAAGCCTTATCTACTTGTGCCTCACATCTTACAGTGGTGATCATTGCCTACGGCAGTTCCATCTTCCTTTACATCCACTTGTCAGAGACCCAGTCCTTATTGTTCAACAAAGGGGCCTCTGTCCTGAGCTGCATTGTCACCCCCCTCCTGAACCCATTCATCTTCACTCTCTGAAATGACAAGGTGAAGAAGGCCCTGAGAGGCATCCTGTGGTGGCATGGACTCACTGCTGCTAGGAGACTATGAGGACCACAAGAAAAGAAAAATGTTCCTATTAAGTTGGGAGCTTAAAATTTATTTCATTTTAAGAAAAAAAAAAAAAAAAGGTATTTGAAATTCAAATCACTCAGGCACCACCCTACATTTTTCTGAGATAATAAAAGATCAGTCTTCATGAATATACAATATAATCAGCCTTTTTTTCCTCCCTGAAATCTCCTTATGCCTCCACCTCCCCACAGAGAAGGCCAACTCATTAGTCAAATTTTACAATCCTAGTTAGAACACATTTTCTTTGGGTTGGAATCTCTGAATCTCATGTGGCCTCCCTGCAAGGAAGCTGTTCCTCTTCTTCCTCGTATATGTCTTAACCACTTTTATTCTGCTTTAGTCTCTTATACCATGTAGCCAGTAAGAAGGCACTAAAATAGGGAGATTCGGATTTAGCTTGTAGAAGGCTCTCTGAGGCTTGCCATCTAGATTGGGTATTACAAAGAAGATTAACCAGAACTTCTGTACTGAAAAATCAAATTCTAGCTAAAGCAATGTATAGGTCTTTGATTCTTATTTTGTATTGTTCTTTATATGACTAACAGCCTTGGAAGAATTTCCTAGGGGAAGAATTGTGAGATTAATGAAATATTTGGATATTTCTAGTTTCTAAGTCATAAAATTCTACTTCATAGACTCCAAATATGGGAAAAATCATTTAGTCATTATTTTAAAAAATATTACTAAATATCTAGTATTTCTGACATTGTTCTAGGCAACTCATGTTGTGCAACCATGAGAGTTAGTGCTTCCTTAAATATTTCATTGTAGGCATCTTTTTTATTTCAAGGCTCTGCCTTGTCTCTGGGGCTAGATCTTGAACAGGGTAGACATGATTCCTCATTTTATGCTATTTATTGTAAAGTGGGATTGGCAGACAAAAATCAACTAAATGAACAAATAAATATGTAGTTGTAACTTGCAATTAATACTTTCAAGGAAAGAGTTGGGTTTTATAATGAGGGAAGGATGTATTACTTTAGATTGGAGCACACTTCTGAGGAAGAAATCTTTAACTGAGCCTTGAGAATGAACAAGAGTTATATAAAATATAAAAGTATAGAAAAGAAGGGAAAAAAGAGGTTGGAGATATGGCCATAGGCCAGATCAGACAATACAATATCCATAATGTTTATGTACTTTTTCCAAGGTAATTGCTATGTTCTTTGTTGATCATAAATTCAATCAGCTTCTTGAAATTGGGATTTAGGGTCCTACACCTACTGTAACATTGGGGTTTCTCCTGTCTCCAGAAAGTTTATACTTCTTTACATATGTTTTGACTTCCTCAAATGTGTTTTAATTAAGAAAGAAACACCATGCATATTGCAATTGGAGCTTCCTTTCAGGGCCTATGTCATGCTCTTCTGTGAAAGTGTCATCTCAATCAATCATCACTTATGCACAGCTCTTAAAGGTTTTTCTGTAAGAGGGATTTGGGAGCAGTTCTAGAACATTCATAATAGGCTCTAGCATGGCTAAACACTCAGATTACCAGGACTTGACTAAGGCAAAGAACAATCAAGAACCAGTGGATAAATAGTTTAAGCCACCTCATAGGTCCTTCTAAACAGGTTGTTAACCTGATGCATCTCTCAGAATTCCTGCCTTTCTAACTATCTGTGGGGTTAGTGCTCTGGGGCACCAAGAAAGAAGTTTTGCCTCCTCCACAGCTTCTTCATGGCTATGATAACATCCTTGTTTCTCAAAGTATAAATAGCAGGATTCAGCATGGGGGTGACCATTGTATACAGCACAGATACCACCTTATCCATTGGGAAGGTCCGAAATGGCCTTGCATAGATATAGATACAAGGCACAAAGATTAAGGTCACCACAGCAATGTGGGAGGCACAGGTGGACAGGGCCTTGCTGCGGCTCTCCCGTGAGTGGCTTCGGAGCATGACTAGCAGTGCTGTGTAAGATCCCAGAAGCACCAGAAAGCACATCAAGGTCACTAGGCCATTGTTAGACACCATCAGAAGCTCTAAGACAAAGATATCTGTACAGGCTAATTTGATCAGCTGGGGCACATCACAGTAAAAGTTGTCCAGTTTATCGGGCCCACAGAATGGCAGCTGGATAGTCAGTGCAACCTGTACAATGGAGTGGATGAAACCTCCCACCCAGGAGGCTGCCATCAGGAGCCCACAGACAGTCTGATTCATGATGAGAGTGTAGCGCAGGGGCTGTGAAATGGCAACATAGCGGTCATATGCCATGACAGTCAACAGAAAGATCTTGATGCCACCAATGAAGTGAAAAAAGAAGAGCTGGGTCAGGCAGCCACCAAAGGAAATGGTGGGGTTGCCTGAGAGTAGGTCAGCCAACATCCTAGGTGCTGTGATAGAAGAGTAGCAGAAGTCCAGGAAAGAAAGATTACCTAAGAGAAAGTACATGGTTGTGTGCAGGTGTGGATCAGAGGTTACTACAGCCACAATGAGGAGATTTCCAGTTACAGTCATAAGATACACAGCAGAAAAGACAATGAAGAAGAAGAACTGAAGTTCCCATGTCTGAGAGAGCCCCAGAAGTACAAAACCTGTCACCTGGGAATAGTTGGCTGGAATCATCTGCTTGGTATGACCTGGGAAATGAACCTGCTGAGTAAAATGGATATGTTCATCATGGGATCCACAAACTTCTCTGAAATAATATTCTCTGCCTCCTTTGGGAATCCCCTACTATTTCATTTACCATTACATGAATATAGTACACAGTTCAATAGTACACCAAGCACTTGAACATCATATCAGTGTAAGTAAACATCAGAAGTATAAATTTCAGGGTAAATTAACAACAATTTTTGATAGCAAGCCCTCAAGAATTGAGAGATGGATGTAGAAGAAAGGTTTCTAGAGAGGGAGTGAATATCAATTATGCCAGGAACTAGTTGAGTAAAGAAAGATGAGCAGTTCTCTGAAGTTCTCTGAGTCTCACCTCCCCACCTATGACATAAATTAGGCAAAATGGCTTCAAAGTATCTTCTAATTTAATATTTTATAACTATGTGTTGCCTTGATATAGATGACTTGATAAATCCCTACATACCAGTCCTTATTTCATGAACATTATCTCACAATGAATCATAGACCTAAATGTAAGTTGTATAGCATTTCTAAAAGAAAACAGAAGAATATGTGCATGACTTTGAGATTGATAATGCATTTTTAGACACAACACGAAAAGCACAATCCATGAAACAAATATTGATGTTGGATTTTATTAATGTGAAAAAATTTTGCTCTGTGGAAGATGTTGTTAAGAGAATTAAAAGACAAGCCAGAACCTGAAAATACAAAACACACATATAATGAAAGAATCATACTCAAGATACACAAAGAACTTTTAAAATTCAACAATAAGAAAGCAAACAATCCCATTACAAAATGAGGGAAACATTTGAACAGACACCACACAAGAGAAGATACACAGCTGGCAAATAAGCATGTAAAAGGTACTAAAGATCATTGTTGTTGTTGTTATTATGCATGGTCGAGTGGGACCCACTCACAATGACCCCTCCTTGGGTTTACAAGACAGTATTACTGTGGAAATAGATTGCCCAACCTTCCTTCCCAGGAGAGGCTGGTGATTTTGAACCACCAGCCTCCTGGTTAGCAGTCAAGGGCCTTAGGCACTATGCTACCAGATCATCATAGTCATTAAGGAATGGTAAATTTAAAAACTATGAGTCATTACACTCCCATTAGAATGGCTAAAAAAATAACTGACAAAACTAATTGCTGGCTAGAATGTAGGACAACAGAAACTCTCACTTATTGCCTGTGGAAATGCAAAATGTTACAGTAACTTTGGAAGACAACCTGGCAATTTCTTGCAAAGCAAATATTATCTTACCATACATACAACATGGTAGGCACACTCTTAAGTATTTATCCAACTGATCTCAACTCATGCCCACCCAACAACTCCATATGAATGTTTACACCAGTTTTATCCATGTTTGCCAAAAATTGGAAGCAATCAAAATATCCTTCAATAGGTAAATGGATAAACAAACTGATGAATTCAATGATAAAAAGAAATGAGCTATCAAGCCAGAAAATGACTTGGACATGGATAAATCTTACAAAAGTGCAGCCAAGTGAAAGAAGTCAGTCTAAAAAGGCTATGTACTATATAATTCCAGTTATATGATATTCTGGAAAAAGGAAAAACTAGAGAGATGATGAAAAAGTTATGGTTGCGAGTGGTTATGGGATAGGAAGTTTGAATAGCTGAAGCACCAAGGATTTTTTAGGCTATTCTGTATGACACTGAGTTCGTAGATATATGACACTATGCATTTTTCAAAAGCCATAGAACTCTACAACAAAAAGAGTATGTATGTATGCAAATACTAAAAGATTAATTTGAAAGTCAGGGGATCCTAGGATGGAATGAAGAGTGTTACAAAAACATTTAACTAGATTACAAATACATGAAACAACCTCACTGACGATGGTGGGAGAAAAGTAACTTGGGAATGAGTGGTATATGTAAGATTAAAGCAAAGAAACTATATATGCATTAATTATTAATAATATATTTGTGTATTAATTAAAAAATATATATACTAAGGCACTTGACTGCTAACCAGAAGGCTGGTGGTTCAAATCCGCCAGACACTCCTCAGAAGAAAGATGGAGCAATCCACTTCCATAGTGATACTGCCTCAGAAACCCAAGGAGTGGTGGCTATGAATCGCGTCTGACCCCATGGCACATAACAACAACGTAAGAGGTTAATAGGAAACTGGGTGTGAGAGCTATCGGAATTCTCTATATTATCTTTGCAATTTTTCTGTAAATCTAGAACCATTCTAAAATAAAAGGTTGTTGTTTTTTTAAAGGAAAAGAACAAAAGGGAATTCTACAATATGAAAAATGAAATAATAATTCACGATGTTAACAGTGGACCTGATGGAAGAAAAGGTCCCTTAAATTGAAGCTGTAGTAAAAAAAAAATATTCAATCTGAAGAATGAAAAAGAAAGAAAACTATTTTTCAAATGAACAGAACCTCTGAGATGTGTGGATCATAATATAGTGCTCTGAAATATTTTATTTTAGTCTCAGAATGAAGGAGCCTTGATGGATCAATATTTAACTTTAACTGCTAACAAAACAAAACAACAACAAGAAAAAAAAAAAAAAAAAAACTCATAAATGGCTCCAGTGAGAAAGACTCCAGGTGAGAAAGACTTAGCCATCTGCTTTCATAATGATTGCTGCCTAGGAAACCCTATGGTCAGTTCTACCCTGTCACCTGGGGTCACTGTGAGTTAGAATGGACTTGATGGCACCCAGTAATAGTTTCAGAATGAGAGCACAGAAAGGCTAATGTAGAAAAAAAAAAGAAAAATGAATAGCTTTAAACCTCCCACATTTGGTTAAATAATAAAATTATTTACAGATCCAAGAAATTCAAGGAATGCCAAGCATGATAAATACAAAGGAAGACACGCTTGGGCTTGTCAATATCAAGTCACAGAAAAAACAAAAGATAAATTCTTAATGGCTGTTAGAGGAAAACCTCACATTATATACAGGAGACAACCATAATAGCTGTTAGCATTTCATTAGAAACAGTAAGATTAATAAGGACCTACTAGACCAATAAGAAAAAGTGAGAAAGGAGAAGAAGAAAGAGAGAGAGAGGAGAGGGGAGCAGAGTGAAGAGAAGGAAAACAGGGAAGGGAAGAGGATATAAATGATCCATATAAAGAACATCAGAATATAGAACTACACATACTACAGAGATTAAAGGGATACTAAAGGAAACATAATAAAAACCTTAATGATAGTAAAATGACCATTTCGATTAAATGTGCAGATTCCACTAAAATATAACTTACACAAAATTGAAATAAAGTAAAATGCAAAAATCCATGTTGAAGAAATTACATTACTTATTAAAATCTATCCTGTTAAAAGAAAAAAAAAATCCATGTGAAGATAATTTGCTGGTGACTTTTATCAATCATGGGAGAAAGAAAACAATCCTATACAAATGCTTCCAGAAAACTAAGGGAAAAATGGTGATTTAACTCATAAACATACTACCAATGCCAAGCAACCAAATATATTATAAGAAAAGAAAATTTTAGATTAATAGTCATCATTAACACGAATGTGAATATCCTTTAAAATTTTAACAAGTTAAATCCAGCAAAGTATGCATATATATGTAGCAGCCTACATATACATGACATATATGACAGTATATCATGAAAAGTGGGTTTATCTCAGAAATGCAGGGTTGGTTTCACATTATAAAATAATAAAATTACCGTATCAATGAAATAAAGGACAAAAATCAAATTATAAGCCGTTGTTGTTAGGTGCTGTTGAGTTGGTTCCAACTCATATACAACAGAATGAAACACTGCCTGGTCTTGCACCATTCTCACAATTGTTGCTATGCTTGAGCATAAAATTGAAGCCACTATGAATAAGCTTACTAGATACAGGGGGGAAAAATGGCAAAATTTAACAACCACTCATAATAATTAGGACTAAAAGAACTTTCTGAACCTAATAAAAGATATCTACAAATATGTGGTGCAAATAGTTAAGTGCTTGGCTGCTAACAGAAAGGTTGATGGTTTGAATCCATTCAAAGAAAGGCCTGGTGATTTTCTTCTGTAAAGATGATGGTCAAGAAAACCCTGTGGAGCACAGTTCTATTCTATAACAGATGGAGTCTTCATGAGTCAGAATTGACTCAATGACAACTGGTAATAGGTTGTTGTTGTAGTTGTTATGTGCCGTCGAGTCGGACCCAACTAATATCCTACAATCTACATTATATTTAATGGTAAAATATTGAACAACTTTCCCCTACATCAGGAACAATGAAAAGATGGTCCCTCTTACTAATAATATAAAAGACATAATGATCAGAAGCAAAGAAGTCTAATTGCATCTATGCAAAGACAATGTAATTATTCATACAGAAAATCCTAAGGAATAAAAAGCACCTATTAAAATTAATAAATTTAGCATGGTCAACAGTTCAAAATCCATTAAAATACCTAGATACTAAAATCAAATTGAAATTGATCAAATGTGATCAATATGCATTGGTAATTGCTGGTGATGGGAATGCAAAAATTGGAAACAAAGAAGAAAGCTCAATAGCTGATGAATATAACATTGTTGATAGAAATTATGACAGAGATGGCATGATACAATTTTGCAATACCAACAAATATTCATTGCAAATATCTTTTTTCACTAACATAAATAGCCGCTGTACGTGTGGATATTGCCAAATGGAATACACAGGAATCAAGTCGATTATACCTGTCAATATAAGTGATGGAGAAGCTCCATAATATCAGTTAGAACAAGGCCAGAGGCTGAGGGCAGAACAGACTATCAAATGTTAAATGCAAATTCAATTTGAACTTGAAGAAAATTAAGACAAGTCCACAAGAGCCAAAGAACAACCTTGAGTATATTCCACTTGAATTTAGAGATTATCTCAACAATAGATTTGATGCATTGAACACTAATGACTAAAACCAGACCAGTTGTATGTGGGATGACATCAGGGACATTATACAT